AGTATCTTCATCAGTAAAATTTGATTTTGTTTGATTATTAAACCTTTTATTTTTATGATGAACAGGAAAATTTATTTTTTCTTGTTTGTTCGTAAACTCAAACTGTTTTAATTCAGTTAAACTATTGAGTTTATTTATTCGTTTAAGAAATTGTTTCATTGTAAAATTAATTCGAGTCGAATAAATACCAGATAATGCCCTTGCATCTCTAAAAACATTTTCACATGGTTGTGATGAAAATAAATGAACAGAGTTAGCTGTTGATTCAGGTACAAGTTTCTGTTCAATTAAGAAATATAAGTATATAAGATAATGAGCATTCAACTCTATTGATAATAAAGCGTTTGGAGTGATAAAATAATTTTTTTCATTTTGTTTTTTCTTTTTGTTTGAGAATTTACGAGTTCTTTTCGTTATATGCAACCATATTCGCCATAATCGAATAAAAAATAATACAATCCATGCATAAAAAATTCGAGTTGATAAAGAAATTTTACTTTGTGTATAAGCTATTATTAATAAATTTAACAATAATAAATAATTGTATGTACCTTTATATTGATCATTTAATGATAATAAATGCAAGACTTTATCATCTGATATTCGTTGACAGGAAGAAAAATTTTGTTTATCACGAATATTCAGGTCAGATTTTGATAAATTATGATCAAGCTTGTTTGTTGTTTTAATTAGTTCATATAAATGATTAATTGATACTTCATATAAGCCCATTTTTAGCTTAGCATTTTTTGATAATAATCTATTACGGATTTTCGTGCATAAATGAACACCATCTTGCATAAACATAAATATTTGAGTCGGTTTTAAATAGTACCAAAAGGACCAACTCGAAGGAATTTTAATTCTAAAAGCTAATGTATTATTGTATATATTCAACGTTTCTGTTTTGACAAAAAAATTGGATGCCAGTCGCATCCCTCTGAGATACTTCGGATCTCCGTCAGTGGAAAAACCTAACACACGAATATTACGGGAATGAAGCTGTTGATATATCATGACCCATCGTTTTATAATATCCATTGAAGTAAGTTTATTATCGGTGCCATATGCAGCTAAAACTGTTGCTGCTGATGTTATAGAAATATCTTGATTAAAAATAGGTTGTAAGCAATGTATATTCACTAAATTAGCACGTGTATTGTTTTCAATTAAAAATTTAAGTTCTTCAAAAGATTGGCAATTGAAAGCATTTTCAATTGGTTTTCCATCTAAAACTGGTGTTACTAGTCCATTAAAATTATTAAATATTGAATCATATTCCACTCGTGGAATGATGGCGGAAGAATCTTCTGATATAAACACGAATTGACAATTAATAGAGTCTAGATAATTTTTAGATTCGTCAAAACGGAATTTGCCTTCTGAGTAAGGATTATATGTATAGTATTTTTTAACTGTTTCAATTGATGGTAAAAGAAATTTCATATTGATACGAATATATTCGTATACGTAAACACCGGCTAGTATAAACAAGCACGCTGCAAATCTTAATACAGCAATTGGATAACGATAATTATTAAATGAACGATGTCTATTTATATCAATTGTATTTAATAAAGTACATAAAATATCTGAACTATTCGTATTAGAATAGGAGATCTGAAGTATTCGAAGTACAACACAGATTAGATCTTTCTAGAATTATGCTTTACTCACATTTTGTTCAGATACTTTCTTGATACTTTTTTTCGATGAATAAGATACAATTTGTAGATCATCTTCATCAGCTTTACGCTTTTTGGATTGTGATGAAATGTTTGGATTTAAGATCTGTAAGACAAACAGTCAACAATAAAATCAAATTAAATGTTTTCTCTATCGTACTTGTTCTTTTAATGATTGTGAATGTTGATATTTGGGTGGTAAATTTGTTGTTTGCTTTTGTTGATAATTTACGAATTGCTAAAAGAAAATAATCATTTGAAATTAGACATTACTGTCTCGCAATGAATAGGATAGCGAAATATAATTACTAAGTACGACTTCTAATGATGTACAAATCATACATGTGCATCGCTCTCCGTAATATTTAACTCATAATATATAACAATGAACTTCTTATCATTATACCGTAATAAATATTGAATTTATTATCGAGAAATTGTGTGACACTACTAGTTCTACTCGAAAATGAGCAATCAATTTTTATCAGGAAATTTTCATAAAAATATGGGCCTAGTATTTCGTTTTTCAGTGTTTGGAAAAGAAAATTGAACTCCGTACTAGTTTCAGAAAAATCAAGTTGAAAGAAAAACTGTATTTACAAACAGAACAACAGTCATACATACATTTTTTGATGCTGCTGCAGAAATGAATGAAATAGAACTTTGTGTTTGACTTGCTTTAGCCTGAATACGAGTCAAAGCTTGTTCATCATGTCTATTTTTTAAAGAAAAAGAGTTAATGCTCAGGCATTATAGTTAATAAGGACTTACCGATTTTTTGCTGTTTTAACTGATAAAGCACTATTTGTATCATTGGTTGGTTCAAGACGAGAATTCTGAACTTGACTGTTGCTGATTATTGGCAAAAAAAAATTTTATGTATAATAAAAAAAATTCTAAGACTCACTTTTTTTTAATTCTTATTAATGCTGATACATTACTATCATCTATATCAACATGAACAGTTTTAGTAGTTTTGTTTTGAGTACTTGATTGAATATTTTCACTTCTCAACATTTGCTCACCCAATTCCATTTGATTTTGAACTTCTGGATCATCTGATTCTTTATTATAATCGTTCATCAAGATTGTTGGTTTATTGTTAATGTACTTCAAATGCTTCATAAAATTCGATACTTGAAATCGATTATTTCTTAAATATAATTTTATTGTATCACCACATATACATTGTATAAAACCAACTGGTAAAATATGATCAATGTTCTTCTCAATAATAATCTTGAAATCTTTCGCTGATATATTTGTATAATTAATGCCATGAATATTGTTTTGTAATTTTGTTAATAAACTTTCAATAGATTCTTCAACTGCTGCATAATATTTTTCATCACTACATTCATTATCACTATCGCTGAGATTGTTCTTAGTTGATGCTGATGTTGATCGATATTTATCAACTCGTTGTGATCGTGTTTGAAATGCTAGCTGAAAGTTTTTCTTTTTAATAATATGTTGAGTTGATTTTAACAACAAAATAACTTTATTTTTTGTACCAATTTTTAATGATATTGATTCTTTATATATATTACAAATTTCCTTTTTTAAGTTAATTAATTCACTGGTAGAATTTTCATCATCAGGTTTTTCGAACAAATCGATCAGTTCATGTTTATCAACTTTATTCAAAATTGTGTACGCATCAATATCATGATATCTTAAAATTTTTCCAACTAATTTTCCATATATTTGTTCAATATGTGCAAAAAAATGTTCGCCTGTAAGCGAAAGTAGATGTTCAATATCGTTATTTTCCATAAATAAATTTAATCAAATGCAAAAAAAAAAAAAAAAAAAAATAATCAAGTAATAAAGCTGTCAGTTGACGAATATTATATAAATATATGTTTCAATAGTGTATTATTAGTTTTGATTGACTGTTAGTTTTTTTGTGATGATTATATGTCAAAAAATCGTTGCTGTCGGATAGGAAGGTCATTGGGCAGCTCTATAAGCAATTGAATGTAAAGAAATAGTGAACATCGCTAGATGTCATCCAATTGTGCGCGATTGATGAATATATAGAATGAACAAAAACAGTTGTGTCCTGATATAATATTTAGACTTAGTTGTTTGACAGAAAAAAAAAGTTATAATAAACGATTACAACATATAAATAGACGACGTATTACTTTTAATAAGCAATAAGAACCTCTTGTACTTTCCGTGTATT